GAACTCACAGAGATCCGCCTGCCTCTGCCTCCTGAGTGCTGGGATTAAAGGCGTGTGCCACCATGCCCAGCTTTTTTTTAGTTTTTATTATTTTTATTATTATTTATTGTTTTTACTATATGTGTATATACATGCAAGTATGTGCAAACACATGTGAGAACAGATGCCTGCTCAGGCCAGAGGCATAGGACCCCCTTGGAGCTGAAGTTATAGGTGGTTGTGAGCCACCTGATGTGAGTGCTGGGAACGAAATTTAGGTCCTCTGGAAGGGCAGTATGTACTCTTAGTTGCTGAGCCACCTCTTTAGCCCTTGTTACTCTTATTTTTAAGTTCTCTCTGTGACTACTTCACTTATAAATACATTTTTTGTCTAGTGACATTTTTGTTAGTACTTTGGACCTGTTTTAAATATATTAGTTCTTCCTATATTATTAATTTGCTGGTAACATTGAACTTCTAGCTGTTTCTAAGCCTCACTGGCTCTAATATACCCCACAGGGAAATATCTAAGCATGTCAGATGTGACTCTGAGGAATTCTCACATCCTTGGAAGTGACTCAGATCCCTCTGGAACAGCAGACTGCCTTCATTTCTCTGGGGGCCGGCAGCATTGATATAACTGCAGGCAACATGGCTTTACTCTGGTAAGACTGACAGCTATCATTACTTTCTGGCTATTTCAGGAAGACGCTTATTCTAATTCTCCAGATCCCAGTGCCTCCCCCCGCCCCTGTTTCCCTTTTTCCCTCATCACCTGTCTCAGCTTCAGGGGATTTTTTTGTTGTTGTTTATTTGGTTGGCTACTTGGAGAATGAGTTAGGGTTCTTGATTTCAGGCAGCAGAAGCTGAATGGTTCATTGAAGCAGGAGAGGAATTTACTGGAAGGATGGTGTGTAGATGCCAGCATGAGAGCTAGAGATTAAATGAGGAAACAGGCAGCACAGGAGGAGGTGGGCATCTGTGACCACAGCCACAGCCACCAATGGGGTGACTGGTTGGAAGCTGTTGTCACTGGCTACTGAGCACAGACCCTGGCTCTGCTGCCACCACTGGAGACATCAGAGGCCTCAGATGCACATGGTAGCATCTCACAGCACTTACCTCAGACCCATAGGTCTTTTGTGGTGCCCAGTCAGGCAGAGCCTGGGTTGTAAAATCACAGTCCAATTTCTAAGGGGTATGGCTCTGTTTCCCAAGTCCCCTCTTCTCAAAAGGAAGAAGGGAATAATTTCTTAAAGATATGAATCCTAAGACTGGAGAGATGGCTCAGAGGTTAAGATCACTGTGCTCTTCCAGAGGACCCATGTTCTGTTCTCAACACCTACAGCAACTACAGTTCCAGGGGACATGATGCCCTCTTCTGTCCTTTGTGGGTACTGCATGACACAGGTGCACTTACATGCAGGCAAAACACTCATACATAGAAATAAAAATAAATAGGTAAGTAACATTTTTTTAAGGTATGATATCCTCTCTCCCCAACAAAAAATACCAATTTCCTGGAGTTTTGTGTTATGCAATAATTCATAATCAAGTTATATAATCAAGTTACACTAATTTATATGTATTTATTATCTCTATACAACTATATAATTTTATTCACAATAGCATACTAAAATATGTACTTTATTAATGTATAATAATATGAATTAAATGACCTCCTTAGCAATCGATCTCCACCATAGGATTAAAGATAACTGCATTTTTAAGCCGCATGTGGTGGCGTGCACCTTTAATCCCAGCACTTGAGAGGCAGAGGCAGGGGAGGGAAATGGAGCACTCTTTGAAGTACTGTACATCACAAATCCTCCCCATGTGATGTGAAACACAAACTTTTAAGAAAGTAATGAAATCTTGGGGCTTGAGAGATGGCTCGGCAGTTAAGGGCACTGACTGCTCTTGCAGAGGACCCAGGTTCGATACCCAGCACCCACATGGAGGCTATGAACCGTCCTTAACTCCAGCTCCAGGGGAATCTGAAGCCCTCTTCTGACCTCCACAGCATTGCACAACATGGGTGCACTCACACACATACAGGAAATACACTCATACACATAAAATAAAAACAATAAATAAAATATTAAAAAAATATTTAAACAGATGTTAAAGGGAGAGTTGCTCAATGCCTGTGGAGGTCAGAAGACAGTGTCAGATTCTAGAACTGGAATCACAGAAGGTTGTTAGCTGGTATGTAGGTGCTAGGAATTGAAGCTGGGTTATCTGCAAGAGCAGCCAGTGCTCTTAACCACTGAGCCATCTCTCCAGCCCCCATCCATTAAATGTAAATGACATAATTTCATTTTTCTTTATTGCTCAATAAAATTCCATTGTATGTAAATCACATTTAAAGAATCCTCTTGTCCTTTTTTGAACCTCTAGGATGGTCCTGTATCTTGCCTGTTGTGAAGAGAGTAGCATTAAACATAGGTGTGCGAGTGTCTCTATGGTAGGCTCACGTAGATTCCTTTGGGTATATACTCAGATGTGGTATATCTGGGTCTCCTCTATTTTTAGTTTTTGAAGAACTTCCATACTGATTTCCATAGTGGCCACATCAGTTCACATTCCCACCAGCAGTATAAAAGTTCCTCTTTCCCCACATCATTAGTAGCACAGGTGCAAACCTATAATCTAGCATTTGGGAGGTGGAGACAGGAGGATTAGAAGTTCAAGGTCATCATCAGCTGCATGGCCAGTTAGAGGCCAGTCTGAGCTACATAAAACCCTGTGTAAAACAAAGCAAACCACAAAAAAAAGAAAGAAAAAGAAAGAAAAAAGAAAAAAATTATATCTGACAAAATATGATTATATGTATGAAAATGCTACTGTAAAACCCATTACTTTGTATGCTAACCTAAAAAAACTAACAGAAAGAAATTACATCTCTACTGAGTAAGGCTAGATTGTTTTTCTTGCCATTATCTCTAATTTGGTGTAACAACTACTTGCACATTTGCATTGTATTAGCTATATCAGAAGTAGTAGAGAGATGCTTTAAAGTACATGGGAGGAGCCTTACTGTCAAGCCCAACATCCTGAGTTCCACCCCTGGGACTCATATGGCAGAAGAAGGGAATTGATTCTTACAAATTGTCCTCTGACCTCCACACATGCATGTGATATATTCAGGAATACACATGTATGTGCACATACACAAATAAATATATTAAAAGTTTAAAAGCACTAGGCTGGAGAGATGGCTCAGCAGTTAAGAGCATTGGCTGCTCTTGCAGAGGACCCAGGCTCAATTCCCAGCACCCACATGGTGGCAAGCAATTGTCTATAACTCCAGTTCCAGGGAATTCAACTTCTTCTTCTGACCTCCTCAGTCACTGCACAACATGGGTGCACTTAAACACATGCAGGCAATACACTCATATGCATGAAATAAAAATAATAAATAAAATTTTTTTTGTCTTTTTTTTGAGACAGGGTCCCCTTGTAGCCCCAGCTGTCCTGGAACTCACTATGTAGACCAGGCTGGCCTCAAACTCACAGAGATCTGCCTGCCTCTGCCTCCCAAGTGCTGGGATTAAAGACGTGTGCCACCATACCCGGCCGAAAATATACCTTTTAAATTTTTAAATGCTATTTAGTGTGTGTATGCTGTATGTGGTCCTACACATCATGACAATATGTGAGAGCTGGTTCTCTCCTTCTACCATGTGGGTCCTGGAGATGGAATCAGGTCATCAGACCTGGCAACAAGGACATTTACCCAGTGAGCCACCTCTATGGCCCGTATGACACCATTTTACATATGGTGGAACGAGTTTACAAGGGTTCAAGAAAGATGACTGATGACTGTACTATACTTCATTCATTGATTAGTTGATGGGCATTTATTCTCAATTTTGTGAATGCTGCTATCCATGTATTTTGTCACCCAGGAATGGAACTGGTAAGCACTACTAAATCCCAGACTGTTTTCCAGTTTCTGCACCATCCTACATTCCCAGCATGTGTATCAGGGCCTGACCTCTCCATGTCCTTGTCAATATTGTGACTATTTGATTCTACCCGTGGGTATCAAGGCATATTTTTTTTTGCAACAGGGTATCACTATGCAGTCCTGGCTAGCCTGGAACTTGCTATGTAGACCAGGTTGGCTTTGATCTCACAAAGATCCATAGGACTCTGCCTCCTGAGTGCTGGGATTAAAGGTGTGTACAACCACAAGCTATCAAGGCATATCTTGATTTGTATTTCCCTGAAGAGTGTGAACATCTTTTGTTGTGCATATTAGCTATTTGTAGATCTCTGGAGAAATGTGTGTTCAGAACCTTTGCCCATTAAAAAAAATCTTTTATTTATTTTTATTGTGTGTGTTTTGATTGCATGTATGTGAGTACACCCATGTTTGTAATGCCTGAAAAGATCAGAAGAGCGTGTCAGGTCCCTTGGAACTGGAGTTAAGGAAGGGAGGGTATTAACCACAATGTGTGTCCTGGGGGCCAAACCCCAGTTCTCTGCAAGAGCTGCCAGTGTTTTAAACCACTGAGCATCTCTCCAGCCCCATCTTTGCCAATTTTAAAATCAGCTTCTCAATCTCTCTGTCTCTCTCTCTCTGTCTCTCTGTCTGTCTGTCTCTCTCTCTCTCTCTGTCTCTCTCTCTCTCTCTGATGGACACTGACTCCACTGGATCTGGATCTGAGCCATCTCTCCAGCCCCACCTTTGCCCATTTTAAAACTGGCTTCTCAATCTCTCTCTCTCTCTCTGTCTGTCTCTCTCTCTCTGATGGACACTGACTCCACTGGATCTGGATCTGAGCCATCTCTCCAGCCCCACCTTTGCCCATTTTAAAATCGGTTAAAGATTGCGTGTGTGTGTGTGTGTGTGTGTGTGTGTGTGTCTCTCTGTCTGTCTGTCTCTCTCTCTGATGGACACTGAATCCACTGGATCTGGATGTGAGCCATCTCTCCAGCCCCCCTAAGAATTCTTTATGTAAGTTAATCTGTTCTGGCTAGAGGAGCCCACTTTTGAGCATCTTTTGAGGTTCATGGTGACTCAGAGAGGCTCTCATGGACTGGCTGCGGAACACAGTGCTGTCAAGAACAAGCAAGTGGGTAGAACCTGCCCCCACCCCCCATATTCTCTTGTCCTCACAGCTCTAAATAAACATTACTGCTCTAGGCAGAAGCTGAAGGGCCTCTCTCCCATGCGTGAGACATCTGGCTTTGAAAGTTCTCTGCTGAGATTTGGGGGCATTTTGCAAAAGTAGTAATTGTAGTCCAACAGAGGGTGGAAAGAAATGACTACTACTTGGAGCACGTTTGGGGAAGGTATTTGGTGGAATTTTCAAGACGTCCATTGGGAGGAGCTGATGGAGTCCAAAACGGGCGTGGGGGGGGGCGGTGAATCTAGGAGGAGGAGGGGAGTTAAAGGGGAAAGCTGGGGGAGGAGTCAGCAGTGGCATGGGGCACTTAAGATGAATGGGAATTGGTGTGAGTGATCTTGGTAACAGTGGTGAGAAGCAATGTTGTCTTTTCAGAGTGGTGAAGGGTTTGAAGTCAGTCTTCGAGCTCAGAGCTAAGCTGATGATAATTGTTTCTCATAGGTTCATCTTCCTCTGGTTTGTTGGTGTGAGAAAAAAAAAGCCTCCCTGCTTCCGCCTCACCAGCCCCTCTCCTCTACCGACCCCACCCACCCACAGCTTGTGGCTAAACTGCCCAACTGTCAATTAAAACCACACTTCCCAGCCTGCCTTGCACTACCTAGAACTCCCAGTTCCCACCATTCACCCAGTTCCTCAGCTAGAAGGGGTTAGAGCAAATCAGCTTCCAGATTCAGGGTGTTCACCGCAGGGCCACTCGGTGCTCCTGCCGCCACCTCCCCTGACTGCGGCTGAACCTGCTACCACTGCACAGCAAACCGCACATAACACAGGAAGAGGCGGCTGTTGCACTGCCCTGGGCCTGCCTGAGGAGCCAGGGCGCTCTCTGCCCGGCTCGCCACAGGTGCAGGGCCCTCCTCCCTTCCTCTAGAGGCCCAGCCAGGAGGGGCTCCTGGGGAGGGGTGGGGAGGGGCTCCTGGGGAGGGGTCCTGGGGAGGGGCTCCTGGGGAGGGGCTCCTGGGGAGGGGTCCTGGGGAGGGGCGGGGGTTCTCACCATGCATAGCCTGAGGAGGCGGGTAGATGAATTTGAACTTTGCTGCAATCTATGTCTTGCCCAGCTTCTAAGACTCCTGTTTGCAGTCCCCAAGCGCTTCCTCCTCGCCTGTTCATTTCCGGAAGCTACAGCTGACCTCCGGACCTGCACCCTCCCTCCCTGTTCTAGGAATTCAGCACCCTTTCTGCTCTCTTCAACTTCTGAGCAGCCAGAACTTTACCCTTCACTGGGCCACCATATAAGGATGCCACTGCCATGGGACAAGGCAGGTTTCAGGTCCTGACATAAGCCCATAATTCTGAATTCTAAAAAGCTCTTAAAATCAAAGGGCTGATTTGTTTGCATTGCCTCAAGTGGCAAAAGGCTTTTTATTTGCTTTGTCTATTGCTCAGAGATTGTAAATTTCATATTTATTGCCCAAAATATTACTGTATTGATTGGGGTCATGTCTAGATCCTGTTGGAGGGATTATGTACTCTAAGATGTATGCACCATGTTACTTTTTCTAAACCATGAGAAACAGTGGTTTTTGAAACTTGTGATCCCCAGATGGTTGGAGAAGGGATTCAGACCTGTGCTATTATGCCACACGAAGAAGGCCTGGATTGTTACTATAGACACTTGTGTGCAGGAACACTATGGAGCTCATCAAAATCATGTCTGAAAATGTGAGGACATAGGGAAAAGCATGAAGAATATAATATGATGCATAGATGGTATGCGTATAATTGCACATCCAGAGGGTGAGTTCAAAAGGCAATATAATGTTAACAGTAGGTTGCCTCCGTGTCCTAGGCTTTGTCTGGTTCTTGCCTTTCTTTAGCAGTAGACAGGTAATACTTTTATAATCAGAAAATACAGGGGTTTTTTTGTTTGTTTGCTTGCTTTGTTTTGTTTTGTTTTTGGTCTTTTTGAGACAGGGTCTCCCTGTAGCCCCAACTGTCTCACTATGTAGACCAGGCTGGCCTTGAACTCACAGAGATCCTCCTGCCTCTGCCTCCCGAGTGCTGGGATTAAAGGTGTGTACCACCACGCCCAGCTGTTTTTTGTTTTTTTAAAATACACTAGGGGCTGGAGAGATGGTTCAGCGGTTAAGAGCGCTGACAGCTCTTACAGAGGACCCAGGTTCGATTCCCAGCACCCACATGGCAGCTATGAACTGTCCTTAACTCCAGTTCCAAGGGAATCTGAAGCCCTCTTCTGACCTCTGAAGCATTGCCCGAAAGGGGTGCACTCACATATATGCAGGCGATACACTCATACACATAAAATAAAAATAAAATTTTTTAAAAATGCACTAAATGTTATTAAAACGTAGTTGGTACTTAGACTTTTTGTTATGTGGCCTTGACTAAATCATTCAATCAGTCTGAACCCAAATTTTCTCTTGTAAATTGGGCCTACTGATTCCTACAGAGTCACTGAGATAATTTATATAATGTATATGTACCTGGACAGAGGTTAGTTATGATGCTGGGTTCCATGGCAGAGTCTGCTCTTTCCTCCAGGGCTGCGGCTGTCTGTGGTTGTCATAAAATATTACACTTAGTCCCCACACGTCATCTATTTTTTCTTATTGATTGATTGATTGATTCATTCATTCATTCATTCATTCATTCATCTACTCTGTGTGTATGTACTGTATTTAGGCCCATATGTCATGATGCACATATGGAGGTTAAAAGACAACTTGTTGGAGTTGATTCTCTTCTTCCATCATCTGGGTTCCGGGGATTAGACTCAGATTGTCAGACTTGGCAGCAGGTACCTTTACCCCATGAGCTATCTCCCTAGCCCTCATCTGACTTTTTCCTAGTGTGTCTTTGTTGATGATCAACAGGACTTTCAAGTTTCTTTTCTGTTCCTTATCACACTTCCCCAATTTCATCACCACATACAGGTGATTTTCCACTTTGCCAATGCTACTTTTGGGTTATGTGACATGTAGCCCTATCTCTGCTCATCTTTCCTTCATCTGTTTTGTCTAGGAAAAAAAGCACATTCTATGATTATTTATATGATAATCCCCACCCTGTGGTTTTTTTTGTTTTTTTTTTGAGATGGGGTCTCATTGTGAGCCTTGGCTGGCCTGGAATTCACAAAGCTCTACCTATCTCTGCCTCCCAAGTGCTGGAATTCAGGGTATGTGCCACCAAGCCTGGTGATAATTTCCATTTTATAAAAGATATTCACAGCGTGAGCTTCCCCCACCCCCCAGATTGGTCTCAAACTTGTGGACTCAAACAACCCTCTTGCCTCAACATCCAGAGCAGCTGGGATGACAGGCCACCACTGTGAGCTAAATCACCTTCCTCTGTCTCCTCTTCTGTTCTGTGTTGTTTTGTTTTGTTTTCTTGAGACAGGGTTTCACTCTGAGCTCACACTGACCTGGAGCTATGTTCTCTAGCTGGCTCCACACTTGGAGCAGCTCTCCTGCTTTAGCAGCCTGACTTCTGGGATTATAGGTTTGCTTCATCACATCTGGCTTAATTCCTTCCTGTCTCTCCCCTCTTCCTCTTCCTTTCCCTCCCCTTCTTCTCCTTTTTCTTCGAAGTACTGGGGATTGAACCTAGGGCAACACACATTTTAGGCAGATGCTCTAATACTAAGGTATATTCCCAGCCCAGTTTACTTTTATTGTGAGACAGGATCTCCTAAATTTCCCAGGCTAGGTTATACTCACTCTGTAGACCAAGCTAGGCTAGAATTTGGCATCCTCCTGTTTTAACCTCTTATGTAGCTGAGATTACAGACCAGTACCCTATGTTCATGTGGTTTTTTTTGTCTCTCTGTCTCTGTCTCTGTCTCTGTCTCTGTCTCTCTCTCTCTCTCTCTCTCTCTCTCTGTCTCTCTCTGTTTTTAAGCAGGGTTTCATGTATCCCAGGTTGGACTTGAACTCACTGTAGCTGAGGTTGATGCCCGGTTTATGCAATGCTGGGGATGGAGCCCAGAGCCTCACATATATTAGGTAAGCATTCTACCACCCGAGCTACATCCTAGCAACTTGAAAGGATAAATTTATTTTTCAATATATGGATACAATGTATTTTGTTCATACTCACTTCCCGTTCCTCCCAAATGTACTCCCACTCTCCCACCTCCTCCTAATTTCTCATCCTCTTTTTAAAAATAACCCATAGAGTCCAATTTGTGCTGCTCATATATGCATGGGTGTGAGGCCATCAACTGACACACGGTCAGCCTACCAAGGGCCACACCCTTAAAGAAAACTGATGCAATTTTATTTCTTGAAAGAGCAATTGTCCTTTCCCATTTTCACTACAGTTCCCCAGTTGACTGATTAAACAACATGTGCAAGCTGGCTCCTGACCCCACCACTCTACTGAACCATCTGTGTAGAATCATCTATTCACTGCTTACTCATTCATGTAATTCACAGAAATTCATGAGCACCTGGTATGTGTCAAGCTCTGTTGGAAGCCTTGTTATACAACAGTCAACAAATTTTTTTTTTCTTTTTTTCTTTTTGGTCTTTTTGAGACAGGGTCTTTCTGTAGCCCCAGCTGTCCTGGAACTTGCTATGTAGACCAGACTAGCCTCAAACTCACAGAGATCTGCCTGCCTCTGATTTGAGAGTGCTGAGATTAAAGGCGTGTGTCACCACGCCTGGCCAGATCAGTTATTTTCATCAGGAGCGTGTAATCTAGTTAATGATGGGGAGAAATTAATTAGCAAGTTTATATGTAATAAATATGCAGTGCCATAATGGAAAAGCACACTGTGAAGAAAAAGCAAAGTGAGGGAAGAGAAAGTGATGGGGTGCTGTTTACATTTTGTACTCAGGGATTCCATCTTTAAGGAGGTGACACTTGCACATCAGCCAAAAGAAAATTAAGAAGTGAGCTGTTGGGTCTGGAGAGATGGCTCAGTGGTTAAGAACACTGGCTGCTCTTGCAGAAGACCCAGGTTTGATTCCCAGCACCCACATGGTGGCTAACAACCATCTGTAACTCCAGTTCCAGGGGATCTGACACCCTCTTCTGGTCTCCATCAGCTTTGGATGCATGTGGTTGCATGTGCATACATACAGGCAAAATACACACATAAAATAATAATAAATAAATCAAAAAAAGAAGTGAGCAGTTGAAGCTGGAGAGATGATTCAGCAATTGAGAGCACTGGCTGCTCTTGTAGAGGACCCAGATTTCGGTCCCAGCACCCACATGACAGGTCACAACCGTCTGTAACTCCAGTTCCAGGGGATCTGACACATTCTTCTGACCTCCTGCAGGCACCAGGCATGCACATTGTGTACATGGATACATGCAGGTAAAACACTCATACACATTACACATAAAATTTAAAAAAAAAAAAAAAAAGAAGAAGAAGCTGTTTGGGTATGTGGCATATGGGGTTTGGTAACATTCTATACCTAGAAAGGAAAAAAGAAAAAGCCCCAAGTCAGAATGCTTTTTTTATTTTTTAATTTATTTTGGTCTTTTTGAGACTGGGTCTCCCTGTAGCCTCAGCTAGCCTGGAACTCACTATGTAGCCCAGGCTGGCCTTGAACTCACAGAGATCCACCTGCCTCCCAAGTACTGGGATTAAAGGCATGTACCACCACACCCAGCTCAGAACTCTTTTTTAAAATTACATTTATTTATTGTGTGTGTTTGTGTATGTGCATTTGTGTACATGGGACTGTGCAGGTGCATGCACACCATGGTACATGTACAAAGGTCAAAGGACAATTCCCAGGAGTTGGTTTTCTCCTTCTACCGGGTGAGTCCTGGGGATCAAACTCAGGTCATCAAGCTTGGCAGCAAGCACCCTTAGCTGCCTAGCCATCTCACTGGCCCCAAAGCAGAATTCTACTTGGCTTGAATGGGGAGCTGCAAGGGAGACTTCATGCTTGAGTGGAGTGAGTGGGGACATGATGAGATGAAATGAGAGGAAGCAGAGAATGGACCTTGAATCTGTGGTGAAGACTGTGGGGCTTCTATTAATTAGTTATGAAAAAGCACTTTTCAGTAACTAGTGAATGATTTCCCAAGTTCTCATCCTCTCCAACTGCTGTAGAGGAAATGACACCAACATTTATTCAATTACCAAAAAAACACAAAAAACCTCTACAGAGTCCCAGCACTTGGGAAGCAGAGGCAGGCGGATCTCTGTGAGTTCAAGGCCAGCCTGGTCTACATAGTGAGTTCCAGGACAGCTGGGGCTGCAGGGAGACCCTGTGTCAAAAAGACCAAAAAAAAAGCCTCTACAAGAAATCATAGTCCAGACATTTCAGGGCTCAGTGTCCCTGTGGCCATGCAGAACTGTCACAGAAGGCTACAATTTCCCTTGAGCATTGGATAGAGCCACAAATAAAGCTCTGTGGAGGCACCAGGAGATGCATCATCTCTCCCACTCACCATTTTCATCCTCAGTCTCTGAACCATACCTGGTCTCAGCTCAGAGAACCCACCTCAGATTTCCCAGAAGGCGTTGCTTACAGTCTTCTACCAGTTATGCTGTCTCCCTCCCTCGAAGCTCCAGCACCTCATTCCTGATAATCTTCTTTATCACTTCCATGGTGTCCTGACCTAAATGGTGATTAGCGGTAAGACCCTTCCCTTCCCTGTCCCACTGTCCACTGAGCTCCAGCACTGACGGAGACTTCTGTGAGCATCTTGCTATCTTTGTACAACATGAGATCTTTGCTCATATGCTGATATTGTCAATGTTTTCAGAACAGGAAGAGGTGGTGAGAGACCTGAGTGACTCCATCTTGGATAAAACCTCCATAGGACTGACCCAGCCCTGGGCCCTGTTCCAAGAAAAACCACAATACTTGGAATGGATAGAGAACAACTCCCCCGCCAATGGTCAATTAACCAGGGACAGGAA